GAGCCTCATCAGTGCATGTCCCAACCCTATGCAGCAGCCTATATCATCCACTCTGTTCCTCACCAGAACAAGAAATCAGAAAAAACAGTCAATGGCAGAAGGAAGCAGGATTCTGGACACGGCAGGAAGTGCAGCACTGCTCTGCACCCTTAGACAGTGCTGGGAAAGGAGCTGTCCCCAATCCTACCACCTCCTACCACATCCCTCCACCTCCTGCACAAAATGCAGACACAGGGCTGCAGGTGGATAGAGCCTCGCGCTGCCCAGGCCCGGCTTCCAAACACACAGCAAACACAAGCCACAACCCGCACAGCAGGCTCTCAGCACCCGAGTAGACAGCTGGACATAAGTGCGTCTGTGGCCTATGTGACAACTTCAAATCTGGGTTCTCAGAGGAGGGTCAGGAGGAAGGTACCCCAGCACTCAGGCGGCCATAGCACTGCACTTTCCACCTGGAAGCCAGGGTTTCATCCAGATGTGCCATGTAGGCGAGAGGAAGGAGTGTGCCATGGAGCAAGCAGCCTGGCAGGTCATCCACACGCGGCCACACAGACACATGAATGCTCCTGCTTCTTTATTTAACCACAGTAAATGTCCCACAAAACATCTCCCGCCACAAGCACCTCACTCAGATATTTTCTGCTCCGTCCTGTTCCACTCCACACCGCTTGTGAAGCATCGAGCCCGTGTCACAGCCTCTTCACGGCTCTGCCTGCGGCTTGTACAGGCTGCCTGTTTCACTAACACCAGACATTCACCAGGACCAACGGTTGAGCGGAGGGACAATTCACAGACCGTCCGTCAGTGAGTCCCTGCCAGCATGACGGCTACAAGCCAGAACCCGCAGAGGCCACCTCTGACTGCCATCAGCCTCAGCACAGAAGTCGCCCACTCACCCGCTCGCACTTCCCACTCACCGCTTTGGGCTGTGCATAATGTGCGCAGAAGAGACTGATGATCCCGGTTCCACAGCCAACGTCCAGGATGACTTTATCCTTCAAGGAATCTTTATTCTGCAGGATAACGTTGTGGTACTTAGTTGTTCGTGGCTGGTCTGCCAACATCTCCAAGTGAAGTTTCTAGAGGAAACACACATTAAGAATCACTGCCTGGGATCTGGAGCTGTGCAAGCTCTGGTCTGAGATGGAGGACTACAGCCAACAAACGCCCCCATCCCACACCTAAAGATAGGAGCAACAAACAAGACCAAAATATGTCAACAGTTAAAATGAAAGTGGACAGTGGGATGAAATGGAAGTTTCTGGAATCCTTCCAGCTCAGAACAGCATAACCTGCAGCTTCTCCCTGCACTTCTCCAAGAGCCAGGTGGGCAGAGCAGCAGGTATGGGCCACCTGGGTAGAGGCACAGACCCTGCCCGCTGACTACCCATGCCTGGGACAGCAGGACTCACCATGCCCCGACCAGACACAGCTGGGCCTGGTGTCCATCAGCAGAGGACGTTGGACACACCATGAGGAGACACACAGGGGAGGCAGGCAGGGGTGCCAAAAGTCCTCTTCAGATGGGGCCCAAGAGTCCTTTCCACACGTAAGTTTTCCCCTTGTTTGCTTGGGGAGTGCAGAAGCTGTAGTTCAGGGAGAAGGTGACAGCCCCACAGACCCTCAGGGCTGAGCATGAAGCCCCCAGCCATGTCTTGAGGGAGGAAAACACCTCAAAACCTAGGACTCCACATGAGGATCAGCCAATCCCCACCAAGACAGGAAGGGCTCATTCAGGGTGGCCAACAAAGCCACAGACAGTGGTCAGAGCCCCAGCTGCCGGCACAGCTGCACCCGCTCCCCAGACGACAAACAGCATCACTGAGAAAGACAAGCGGCAGGTGGAGCACAGTCCAGGACGGCCGCCCAGACCCTGGGGCACACACAGGGGGTCTGGATGGAGCCTTCCCGACCCAACATGGCTCCTCACAAGACACCACAGAATGAAAAACAGAGGGACAGACAGAAGGAGGCTGTCTGTGGACATAGAATTACCACCATCCTGCCTACAGCAATCCACTTTCAATACGAAGACAGAACTAGGTCAGAAGCAGAAGGATGGAGAAGGCACAGCACGCTTATATTAACTGCAGGAAATCTGGAGTGGCTGCATTAACATCAGACAAAGCACATTTCAGATCAAAGAGCATTCCCAGAGCTAAAGAGGGTCAGTTCATAATACACAGGAATCAGTTCATCAAGAGGACATCATAATTCTGACTATTCTTGTACCTAGTAACAGCTTCAAATTACAAAGAGCCAAAACCAATAGAAATGCAAGAAATAGACATACTCACATTACGGTCAGAGATTTCAACACCCTCCTCTCAGAAACTGACAGAAGCAGACAGAAAATCAGTAAGGCCACAGAAGACCGAAGCAGCACTATCAACCAGTTTAATCTAATTGGTATTTATAGAACACTTCACCCAACCACTTACAACAATAATAATAAAAAATATCTAGTCACTTAACAAGGAAGATACACAATCTTGTGAGATAAAACCTTAAAACTCTGGGATACATAAAACAAGGCTTTAGTAATGGGGAGGGTGAGAGCCTATTATGAAGATATCACGTCTCCCTAAATTAATGTAAACATTCCATGCAGTACCAACTAAAAGGTCAACCAATTTGGCTTGGAGAGGGGAGTATAACAAAATAATAATAAAATTAGTTTCAAAACCATAAACGCCCAAGGCTAGCCAGGAAAATGCTAAAAAACAGAATTGCTAGAGACTTTGCTCTCACAGATCTTACAAAGCTACAATAATAAAAAGAGTTGTGAACTGCAGAAGATCAACAGATCAATGAAACAGCACAGAGATTCCAGAAAAAGACCCATGAGACGTATAGTAAATGTGGCATTTCATAGCAGCGGGAAAAGAAGAGTTGTCCAATAACTGATGCTGGGATAGCTGGATATTTGTGTGGGGAAATTAAGGCAGAATTTTACCTTATTCTTTACAATAAATTCCAGATGGGGATTTAAGCTGGGATAGCTGGATATTTGTGTGGGGAAATTAAGGCAGAATTTTACCTTATTCTTTACAACAAATAAATTCCAGATGGGGATTTAGATATTTCATTGTTTAAAATAAGATCATAACAGTTCCAAAAGAAAGTGGTGTATGCTGTGGTCTCAATGTCCCCCCAAATGCCTGTGTTGAAACTTAACTGCTGATACCATGGTACTGGGAGGTGTGACCTTTGGGAGGTGATTAAGTTACGAGGGTGGAGCCACCCTGAATGGGATTAGCACCCTTATGAAAGAGCTTGAGGTGGAAGGGAGCTCGCTCTTCCCTTCCACCATGTGAGGACACAGCATCACAGTTACGAGGGTGGAGCCACCCTGAATGGGATTAGCACCCTTATGAAAGAGCTTGAGGTGGAGGGGAGCTCGCTCTTCCCTTCCACCATGTGAGGACACAGCATCATGGCACCATCCTAGAAGCAGAGAGCAGCCCTCACCAGACACCAATGCTAGAGCCTTGATCTTGGACTTCCAGCCTCCAGACAGTAAAAAATAAATTTCCATTCTTTATAACTTACCCAGTCTCAGGTTTTTTTAGCAGCACAAATGGACGAAGACAGTACATAATTAGCAAATCTTTCTAGAGGGCAAATTGGCAAGATCTACCAAAGTAAAAAGTACACACACACACCCCTCCCCCAGAAATTTATCCTAGGAAAGTCTAGCAAAAGTTTAACAGGATTTTTGTAGGATTCCATTACAGCATTATTCGCCATGACAAAAAACTGCTAAATAATCACTATATGTCAATATAATTCTTCTGAAACAACATAATACTCAGCAGCTATTATAAAGAACTGCAGGTGTCAATATGCAGAGATCTTCAAAATAATACAGCCATGTGGAAAGAGCAAGGTGTAGACCTGTGTGTGCGGAACGATTACTTTTCTATAAATTATATACACTTCAAAAATAAGTGTAGCTCAGATGTGGTATCAGCAAAGACACTACTACTGAAAGAAACCTCAGTGGGAAGTGGCTATCTTTGGGTTGGCAAATTGCAGAGCAGGAGGCAGACCCTGGCTTTCCACTGTATATCTTTCCTTAATGGACTGAAAGCTCTAACTATCCACAGTCATGCACTGCATAGTGACGCTCCCATCAACAAAGGACCCATATGTGACAGTGGTCCCATAAGATTATGGTGCCTGTACCACGCAGCCTAGTGTGTAGCAGGCCACACCATCTAGGTTCGTGCAAGCACACATTATGACATCCACACTACAACACACATCAGAACATGTCCCCACCATTAAGCAACACATGACTGTATATACGTCAGGGATTTTTAATTCAACATTTTTAATTGTGTAATATGGCATACTTAAAAAAAGTGCATTAAAAAGTATCTGTACGGGCCGGCCCGGTGGCGCACTGGATAGTGCGCCGCTTGGGAAGCACGGCGGCGCTCCCGCCCAAGGGTTCGGATCCCACATACAGACCGGTTCCCGCTCACTGGCTGAGCGAGGCGCGGGAGCAGCGCCGAGGGTTGCGATCCCATTGCCGGTCCCCGGCCCGGTACGGGGGCAACACTGAGGGTTGCGATCCGTTGCCGGACATGGAAAAAGACAAAAAGACAAAAAAAAAAAAGTATCTGTACAATTTATCAAATATATAGCAAACACGTGTGTAACCTACAGTAGAACTCTGCCAGCACCCCACCTTCTCATCCCAGCCATGCCAATCACAGACTCACCCTCTTACAGGTAACTTCCTTCCCCAATTCTCAAGTGAGCCATCTCCCTACCTATTAAAAGTATCATTTATGAATGTACACATAAGTGGTAGAGTCTCATCACTTATGTGTACATTCACAAACAATAACTTTTAATGCTGCTTTTTAACTTTATATAACCAAATCAAATGTTATATGTTCTTTGACATCTTCCTTCTTTCACTCAACATTATCTTCCTAATATTCGTCCTGCAAGTAACTGCCTCTATGCAGCTTTAAAATGTGAACGAGGGTTGTTGCCTGGGCTACAGGATTACAGACATTTCTCCACAGTGGGGAGAAAAACTAATAAGCTGGATGTTTAGAGGTATTATTGTTCATTGATTTATAGAATTTTTTTCTATTTTTATTTTAAAGTAAAATTTATTTACTTTTGTTAAATAGAGAAGCTCATCACCCCATTGCTCAAACAGCTCTAACCCAGGGCACAGCACACTATGCTCACGGGCCACAGCCAGCTCACCACCTGTCTTTGTATGGCCCCCAACTAAGAATGGCTTTCACATTTTTAAATGGTTTTTAAAAATCAAAAGAAAAAAAAATATTTTGTGACACATGAAAACTATATGAAATTTGAATTTCAGTATCTGTAATTAAAGTTCTTCTGGAACACAACCACACTCACTTCTGTGTGTCATTCACAGCTACTTGCAAGCTACAATGCTGCAACAGAGACCCTGTGGCCTGCTAAGCTGGACAGAAGGCTTGCAAGCCCTGCTCTAAATAATGAGTAGCAGCAGCCCAGGAATTATTTCTGAAAGTCTGAACCTGAAACTAGAGAGAAGAACCCGCCACCCATCCGACTGCACAGGGAACGGGAGGCAGTACCAGCGTTCCGTAGCTGCCAAAGTACTCCTCATCCTGCCACGTGTCCTCAGGGTCGTACTCCTCCACGTGTTTGCCAACGTGGTTCGCTGGTATGTACCCACAGTAGCCCGCACGTTCACCCCACCACCAATCGGCAGTGGTTTGTCTCAGGATAAGAATTTTTTCTCCTCTCAAAAAACTGAGCTGGGGAAAAAAAAAGATGACAGTTAAAATTCAATAGGAAAAACAGTCATTGGTATTTCAACTGTGGCTCAGTAACAAATCCCCCATCACTGGTGACCAAACCACAGCAATTTCAAAAAGGAGTCAGTGGGGTAATCACAGCAACTGACAACTCATGAAATTGATGCCAGGATTCAGACATTTTGTGGAACATCCACACAGAAGGGCACAGCTTAACTGGTATTTTTAATAAGAAAGAACAACTGTTTTCAAATGGCTTAAGACAGAATTTCTCAACAGCCTCTTTACCATAACAGCTATGCCATACCCAATTGTTACTGGAGGCTTACTCAGAGAAATTCCTGTCACAAAGTAAAGAAAGCCACATTCGAGCAGGTATTTTTACTTGATAGCCTTACTTTTCAGTAACAGGGTAGGTTTTAAATCAAGATTTCCAGGCAGAAGTGGAACAGGTGCTTCCTCCCCAGCTGACAATCCCCCTCCTCAACACGTACCCTCATTCACATCATGCTTGGGGTACGAATTTGTTAGGCTGGGAGGTGAAGGTAGCACGCAGGTCTTGTGTGGCTCTAAACATCTGAATACTTTTAACTTCGGTATGACTTCTGCAAGACTCACACCTAATTTCGCCATTGAACATGCTGAAATCCGCAAAGCATGGACAGCTTGATGCTACCTGGGTCTCATCAGTGGCAGAGTAGTCTGCTATGGCCACGAACTCCTCTGGCTGAGCTCCCTCCTGGAGGAGCTCTTCTTCACTGCGCTCGACAGGCTGTTCTTCCTGTTCGAAGCCAAGGAAAGCAGAAGGAAAAGACTATGGAGCTTTTTTTCCTTCCTTTTTTTTTTTTTGTCTAGTTTATTAGGATGATTTCAAATGAAGATTCGTGTGACCAAATATTTATTACACAAACAACTTGCGTCATCTTTACTAGCATGATTGAGGGCTATCCCCTTCATTCACCTTTACTTTACATCTCTAATACAAAATGGTTTGTGAGAATCCTAAGGAGAATGTCAAGAAAGAAGCAAGTGAGAGGCACTTTAACGTCTCTATGGTAACAAAGCCCCAGCCTTCACCAGCAATGCTTCCTGAAAGTGATCATTGATCTCAGGAGAAACTATTTGCAGGTGTTGGGCTCAGAGACCTCTTCAGACCTGAGGACAGAGCTGGGTGCCCAGAGTTCCAACAGGGCACAGCCAAGGGCCTATGGCTGGTGATGGTGACGTGGCTTAAATCTCCACTACATCAGTGGAGCCTGAGCAGCCTCGGCTCAGACTCCGTTGCTGCCCAGAACCCAGATGGTGGCTCTGGGACCTTGAAGGAGTTGCTGGCACCCTGCCCATCTCCACTTTATATCAGAATAAACTTGCTTGGAAGACATCCATTAGAGGTGGCTGAACCTCAAACCACACATTCCCATTCAGTGGAGCATCCCTGCCCCAATAAATACATTTTAAAACAAATTTTCCTGAACATAAAAGAAATTCATGTTCACTTTTAAAATGTGTGAAAACATAGAAGTACACAGAAAAAAAAATTAAAACCTCCTGTAACCTTACTCACTGACAGAGATAATGATGGTTAACACATTGGTATTTATCCTTTCAGACTTTTAAGATAACCAGTAAGGGGATCTTAACCCTTGACTTGGTGTTGTCAGCACCACGCTCTCCCAAGTGAGCTAACCGGCCATCCCTATATAGGGATCCGAACCCGCGGCCTTGGTGTTATCAGCACCACACTCTCCCAAGTGAGCCATGGGCTGGCACTTCCTTTCAGACTTTTAAAAGCATACGTATGTACAACACATACATACAGAGCATCTGTTGGGAGCATACAATACTGCTGTGTGACCTGATTTTCACTTTTGAAATTCTGAACGTTTTTCATTATTAAACATACTTCTAAACACCACATTTTTAATACCTGTATAGCATTCCAGTCTACAAATTATCATAACTTACTAATCCAATCTCCTAGCTTTTGACATTTAGATTGTTTTCAGTTTTTACTATTATGAATTGTGTTAAGATGAACTTTCTTAAACATAAATCATTCTGTATGTCCCTGATAATTTTCTTAGGATAAATTCCTGAATGTGAAGTTGATGGACCAAGACTGTGCATACTTTCACGACTTTTGATTTTATACCAAATGCCCTCCAGAAAGGCTGTTCCTTAGACTCCTCGGTGAGAGCAGCACTTGGCCATGTAAGAGTGGACTACCAATTTTCCTACATCCTCACCAACAAAAGACATTGATCATTTTAATCTCTGCCAACCTAATGGGTAAAATTACCTCTTCGTTCCTTCCATTTGCCTTTCTTTGATTATTAGAGTGGTTAAACATGTTTTTCAAGTACTTATTGGCCACAGCTTTTATTTTGCTAAATGCCTATGTGCATCCTGTGCACTTCTGCCTGTTACAGCGACGTGACCAGTTTCAGAGCAGCATCGTTTTCTTTCAGCTTGCCCACCTCCTGGCCCTGGATAATCCACACCATCACCCTCACCACCCTCCCTAGGTAGTCCACATTAACCTCCTGGTGTATACCCTTCTGTACTTTTTCCATGCTTATGTCATATATAAACATCTACGTACCTACATTCTCTCTCTCTCTCTCTCTCACACACACACATACACACACAGAGGCACGCACAATGTGGAGATTTTTTTTCTTTCTTCATACATGGTTGGGTTTTTTGTGTTTTTCTGTTTTTATTAAGGCTATCATAAACCCTTTTTTTGCACTTTTTTCTTATCCACACAATACCTTCTGAAAAAAAAAACAAAAAACCCCAACTGTTAGAACTGCATTATTTTCAATGGCTATACAGTATTCCATAGTAGAAATTCTGCTTGATTTTTCAGCCATATCTACTGGTAGGTTTTCTCTTGATATCCAGTATTCTACCATCATAAATGATGCTGCAACAAAAATTCTGTGCACACATATCCTTATGTGATGACATTTTATTTCTACAGGATAGATTGCCAAGGGTGAAAAATAAGAATATTTTTTATTCAAACATATGTCAGATTCTTTCCATAAAGGGTATAACACTTCATACTGCACTAGCAATGCATGGGGTTCCCCATGCATGAATACTCAGCTGCAACAGGCATTATTACTGGCTTTTCGTTTTGCTAGGGTGATGGTGTAAAGTGGTAGCTCACAGTTATTTAATACCAATTCCCTGACTATTATGATTTTGCACGCTTTTTGGATGCTTGGATTTGTTCTTCTGTAAACTGCCTATTTATTTATTTTGCCCATTATTCTATTTGGCTATTTGTCTTCTGATTATCAGGTTGGAAGAACTCTTTTCATAATATAGACCTTATTTGAGATCTTAGGCAAACAGTTTTTGCAAATATGCTGTTTTTCAAGTTATTTTGTTTAGAATCAGTAAATTCAAAGTCAGACCAATAGAAATTATCCAAACTGAAGCACAAAAAGTACACAGAAAAAAATCTACTGTTGGCAGAAAAAGAATGGGAAAAAAAATGAGAATAGAGTGTGAGATATGTGAGACAACAACAAATTTAACTTACGTATAAGTGGAGTCCCAAAAAAGAGAGAAGATGAGACAGAAGAAATAACTGAAGAGGTAATGGTGGACATACATCAACTCTCAGGTTCAAAAAGCTAAACTAACCCCAAGTAGGATAAATACAAAGAACACTGCTTTACAAAAAAAAAAAAAAAAAGACAGCAAGAGAAAACCTTCAATGTTGCCTGTTGGGGGGAAATACATTACATTTAGTAGAATAACAGTAAAATACAGCTGACTTCTCACCAGAAACAATGGATGCCAGAAAACAATGAAGTAATATCTTTAAAGTGTTGGAAGAAAAAAACCCACAAGCTTAAAATTCTGTATCAGGCTAAAATATTCTCCAAAACTATAGGCAAAACACATTTTTGTTCAAACCAAGGTTGACATAATTTGGCACAGCAGACCTATACTACTAATACAAAAATAAGTAGTTGATTGAAGGGAAATGATCCTACATGGGAACAGAGAATGAAGGAAAAATGGAAAGACCTCAGAAAAAGTAAATCTGTGGGAAATAAAGACTTTTGATAGTATAAAGCAACAATAATAATTTATTGCAGGGTTTAAAACACATGGAATTAAAATACGTTACAACAATAGCACAAAAATAAGAGAGCTGGTAAATGGAACTAACTTGTGAGATTTTTACATTGTGAACTGCTCAAAAAAAAAAAAAAAAAGCTGGAACAGGTTAAGAATGCATATCACAGTATCTTGGCAAACCACTAAAAAAATATAAAAAGGTACAGCTAACATACCAATAGAATAGATAACATGGAATTATAGACAATATTTTATCAATCCAAAAGAGGGCAGAAATGCACAAATTTATAAAGAAGAAATGTAACAAACACAAAACGAAAAGCAAGACATTGGACTGAAAAATATCAGTCATTACATTAAATGTTAATGGACTAAATACTCCAATCGAAGGGCAGAAATTGTCTAACAGGAAAAAAAAAAAAAAGACCCAAGAGCATTTAAAACAGGGACTTAAGATAAGTTGAGGGGAAAAGACACACATATACACATACACTCACACACGCACACACGTACACACACACACACCATGCTAGCACTAACCATAAGAAAGCTGGTACAGCTATATTACTACAAGAAAAAGTAAGTGCAAGGCAAGAAGTATTGAACAGATAAAGAGATTTCATAAAAATGAAAAGATCAATTAATCTAGAAAATAAAACTATCCTAAACATATGCACCCAATAATAGGGATTCAAATTATATAAAGCCAGTGACAGAACCGGAAAAACAGACAAACCCAAATTCATAGGTGTTATTAACAGGATGAACAGGAAATGTTTTAAACATATCTCTCAGTAATTGACAAAACAAATAGACAAAAATTCAGAGATATGAATACTAATAACCCATTTGACCTTAACAACATTTATAGAACACTACACCCAATAACTGCAGAATACTTAGTTTTTGCAAGAACACATGGAACATACACCATACGAATGTTCCTATGATCAGGCCATAAAAGAGACCCAAATAAATTTCAAAGAATTAAAATTTTACAGTATGTGTTATTTTCTCTAACCAAATGTAATCAAGCCAAAATTAAATTTTAAAAAGATAAGTAAAATTTCTCCAATGTTTTGAAATTAAGAACACACTTCCAAATAGCCCAAAGTTCTAATTTCCATGGTGATATATTAAAAAATTTTTCAACTGAACAATGAAAATACAATGCATTAAAATGTGTGAGGTGCAGCTAAAGCAGTGATTAGAGGAAAATTTATAGCTTTAAAGACATATTAGAGAAGAAAGATTTAAAATCAATGATCTAAGCTTCCATCTCAAGAGGCTATAAAAAAAGAGAAAATTAAACTCAAATAGAATAGAATGAATAAAGAAAATCAACAAGACAAAACTGGTTCTTTGAAAAGATAAAATCAATAAAACCATAAAAAGACTGATGAAGGAAAAAAAAGCAATAAAACATAAATTGCCAGTATCAGGCATATCCTCTGTAATGGAAGGTGCTATTAACAGGATGAACACAAGTATTACTGAAATATTACCATAATTCATAAGTAATCAGGAAAATTAAAATAACAAGATACCATATCTAGCCCATCAGACTGACCACAATTACAAAGTCTGATGCTCTCAAGCATTAGCGAGCACTATCATTGGCTACTGGCAGAACTGTGAACCAGCAGGTACAGTCATTTGGGAGAACAACTGATCATTATCTTGTAAAACTGAAACTATGCGATCCCTTTCACCCTGCAGTGCCATTACTGAGACTATACCCTAGAGCATGGAGGCTTGGGGAAGGATGTTCACTGCAGTACTGTTTGACATAGAGAAAAACTGGAAACAATTTAAGTGTCCAACAAAAGGGAATAAATAAAATGGGGTATATGCCTACTGTATAGTAGTAAGACTACAACATATCTACCTACATATCTATGAAAGAGATATGTTCACAGAAGGAATGGGCTACAGGAGTATCCTATAGTAAGTAGGACTAAACTAGTGCTACACACACATAAACAAGGACAAATCCCCCAAAGTAACATTAAGTGAAAAAGGCAAGCTACAGATGACAGAGTACGACACCACTTGAGTAAATTCTAAAAAGCACACACAATACCATACATTGTTCAAGGATGTCTACATAAAGTATAAAGGTATAAAGAATGGTGCAGGTGCAGAAATGCATACATCAAATTCATAAGACACACTAGTTCTTGAGTGAGAGGAAGAGGAATAGGACTGCAGTCGGGGAACAAACTATCTATTGTGGTGGTGTTTTTTATATATATTCTGAAGCAATTATGACAAAGATACATCAAATTCATAAGACACACTAGTTCTTGAGTGAGAGGAAGAGGAATAGGACTGCAGTTGGGGAACAAACTATCTATTGTGGTGGTGTTTTTTATATATATTCTGAAGCAATTATGACAAAGTGTTAACAAGTTTTCAGCTCTGCATAATATGTATTTGATGTTTCCAATATTATTCTGTAAATGTAATATTTTTTAAATTTGTCAAAAGAAAAATAAGATGTCCACGGAATTAAAACATTTCATAATTAATTTTAAGAACCAGATTAATAAAATAAGCTAACTATAAATTCCTATACATAAAAACCCAAACTAAAGTAGACCATTAGAAGGAAAGGGAAAAAAAAGAAAATGTTAAAATTGATATCACAGACATAAGAATGTTTTCCTTTTAAAAATTTATTATTAAAGTATTGATTATTACTTTTACATAATCAACATCCCTCAGTCTTTCACATGACTTTTTTTTACTGCTAACTTGAATGAAACCATATGTGTATTCCACGCAGAACAGCATGAATACACAAATCTTTTCTAATATGTCAAACCTGCCTTTAACATTCTGCTGCTATTATGCCTGGGACTTTATTAAACAGCTAAGAAAATATGCTTGATTCACCAGTTCAGGTACCAAAACTGGAACCCTGGATTACTTTGATGTTCTAAGGCATCCTAAGTATTTCCTTAAAAGTATTTACAATGCCCAATTCAGAATATTGTTTTATGAACACTGCATTTCCTCTGGTCCACCATTCTTTAAACCTGAGCATCCTACTGTTGGCGGCCACCTCCAGAGGTACAAGCAAAGCTCCATCCCATCTGTGAGTTGGGGCTTCACTCTCTGCAATGCTCACGTTCATTAAAAGCAGGTTCTTACATACGAGAGTGGAAATTACCTGTGATTCACTTCTGGGACAGTCGCCTGATGTTGCCATAGTTCTCTTAGGCTCTGCCTCATAACTGCTGCTTTTATCATTTCATATTCCCCTCCATTTCTACTTTAAAAAAGAGGGAGAAACACAAAGTGTTTGTTACATCGCTTGATAATTAAGTTCACTTAATGTTTAAGTTCCATGAGAAAGGTCCTCTACCAAGTAGAAGTAAAATGTAGATGTGTGAAGAATGGTATAAAAATGGAATTTATCATCACGATTCTTTACAGAAACAATTGAAAGCATTTAAAAATCATAAACTTCAAACAGTGTTTTTTAAACTATGCAATTCTTATTCATCTACCAAAGCCTGTTTAGTTTCGGTTAGATCACTGTGTTGATTTAAAACAATAAATCAATGTCAGTGCTTTCCTTGGAACTCTGATAGCTTTAACTCCAATTAAAAGCAAGGTCTGCATCTTTCAGAATCTTTTCCTTCTCCTTCCCCATTCTTATTTTTCCAGTGACTACGCTGTGGGATGAATGTTTTTTTCCGTTACACAATTTTTTGTTTAAAATGCGTGCTTCACTTCTAAATCATGACCTGATACTCATTTTTGTGATATTTGTAGTTACAAATACTGGTTTACACACATTATATTTTCCCTGGAAAACCTTGGGCCGGAACAGACGCAGCTCGGGGCCCACCTAAGGGGCGGGAGGGAAAAGAGTGAGACGCGAACTCGGGTGAGGGCTGGCCCGGCGAAGGGGCGTGGCACAGGAGAGGCGTGGCACGGGGGCGTGGCTGGGAGGAAAGAGGCGTGGCTGGATGAACGTGCGCTGAGAAGTGGGTGCGGCACTGGAGGGCGTGGCCCGGGGAAGGGGCGGGGTGCGAGGGTGGAAGGAGCAGGGGGAGGTCGAAGGGGCGTGGCTGAGGATGGATCTCGAGATGAGAAGATGGGCGTGCCCAGGAGGGCGTGTTGGGGAGCTCGGGGAAAAGGGCGGGGCGCGCGCCGAGCCGCACTCAGTCTCCACAGCGCGGATCGGAGACCGTGAGGCCGCTCGGAGGTCCCGGAAGGGGGAGGAGGCCTCGGCCGTCACCGATGCACACGCACAGCGAGGGCGCCTCACAGGGCATGCCCTGCCTCACGTGCGGCCCGGCCTCCTGCGCTGCCCAGCAGGAAACCTACCTCAGCCGCGAGTCTCCGCCGAGGGCCA